AACGCTCGTCCGTTGGTCATGATCAATTGCAATAAAGAGGGTCTTATTCCGGGCAATTTTTCGTGCTTCTTTCTCCTTAAAGACACATAGTACGCTCACACACACATTGAGGGTGTATGAGACTATCAGCCCCCCAGCTGTCGATGTGTCGTGGTCCCCCCGCCCAAACATGCCCAGGAATGGAGATACAGGACCGTGAAACACGCTAGTTCCTCCATGCTCCGCCTTACACCTTTTTGCGGCGCAGATTCCCGTCCTTCATAACATCCGTCGTAAGCGCGCGTGTCGCGTGCGGCTCCTTGGCACTTTGCCAAGTCCTTTAATTGCGCTTTCAAATACAAGTAAAACGCAATTTCCTGCGATGCAGGAAAACACTGGAAGGTGCTGCAAAGTAAGAACAGAAGATGATGACGAGGGTCAGAACTTAAAAGCAACTGTGCCACTTCTGCAACATCCCTCGGAGGCCGCGTATTTCCACGAAACATGAAAATAAAACGGCATACTCGTTAGTTTGATACAAGCAAAACGCAATTTCCTGATGCGAATAAAATTTTAGGTGTTGCTCATGCTTCAAAATCCATGTACAAGGAGATGAAGATGACACAGGCTAGAAATGAAGCACAACGATGTAAATGTAAACAAAACAAAAATGAAAAAAATCAAAGGAAATTGCGTTGAAATCGTCTGTACTTAATACGATCCGGCGCAAATCCGGCGGCCAACAAGGCCATAGAATACTTAGAAACAAACGAGTTGGGACGCTTGGGCTGTTTTTTATTCTCATGGTGGAATGTGCTCTGATGGATACTGCAGATGCAGCCGAGTTGCTCTTGAGTTCTGCCCCTTGTCATCAACTCTCTGCTCTTATTTTGTAGCACCTCCAATGTTATCCGCATCAGGAAATTGCGTTTTACTCGTATTTGAGAGCGCAATTAAAGGACTTGGCAAAGTGCCAAGGAGCCGCACGCGACACGCGCGCTTGCAACGGATGTTATGAAGGACGGGAATCTGCGCCGCAAAAGGTGTAAGGCGGAGCATGGAGGAATTAGCGTGTTTCACGGTCCTGTATCTCCATTCCTGGGCATGTTTGGGCGGGGACCACGACACATCGACAGCTGGGGGGCTGATAGTCTCATACACCCTCAAGTGTTTGAGCGTACCATGTGTCTTTAAGTAAGCAACAAACACACGACCCACAGTTCTATGTTTTGAGCCGTATTACCTATGAGCTGTGGCCGCGGGAATTGCCTTTAATTCGATCACTACAGCGCCGTATATGAGCAGCCCACTTGATAAAGTTCCATTGGAAATTATGGTGGCGAAGCCAGGCCAGCTCGGCGAAGCCGAGCTAAAGAGAAGGAGTAGAGCTCGGAGTTTCGGAGGCGATCCGACTGGTAAGTAATAACATTTTTCACTACTGTTAGGAACGGATATGATTGACAAAAGTAGCACAACCTTACAATACGCATTACAGGCCTACTGCCATAGCACTAAGACCTATTCATTGACCATCTCGTAGGCTGCGGTCATACTTTGCGGCAGCGACCAGTAGCGTCCACTAGCGACCGGCAGCGTATCGAACGCTAGGGAAGTATAAGCGTTGATCTAGGTATGGGTGCCAAGGTGCCTGCCAGCCGCTCCCTATCGCAGGATCCAACTCAACCAAGTTACGCCCAACTCAACCAGTTAGTTACGTGAGAACAGAAAAACCTCAGAGATAGTGCTGACCCGTATTTCGGATTGCTATACTTTTCTGGCTCCTGAGCATCTTTATTCTTCTTGTAACGATTTTGCGTTACTTTCAACGTCGTTGCATTGAGAGTTTCTACAGTAACCACTGGGTAACCCATCTGAAATAGACGCTAATAACCTTCGAGGAGACATTTATAGAAGTCTTTGTGCTATAGTTTTTGTGCTATATTAGTATGTATTGTCATAATGATGATGGGAGCTTCGCGTAGGGCTTGAGGAAAGAAGAGACATCAGATTTGGTGGAACAAATAAAGACGCAACAATTCTACTCAGAGAACGGCAATACCAAAGAAGCACAAGGACCCCATCAAATGCCTCTAAACACTATAATTTTATCAGAACCAATGAAAGCATTTACTACCTGAGTCGTCCACTGATATGCGAACTCAGTGGTTTTCAGTGGATTACCGTCGGGGCCCTCTACACCTTTGACCACTTCATCAAAAACTTCCCACAGATCGGAAGCTTGTGCGTTGCTATACGAAAACTTCTTGAGGTATCGCTGAAAACAACCTATGATTAGCTGCTAAGATTAGAAAATCTTTGCGTGTGAGGAGCACCATCCACATACGACAGAACTCAGCGAGGAGCTGTGTAGGAACGATACCACCCTCGCCCAGAAAACGTCAGGAGCCGGTCGCCTTCGAAGGTCAAATGAAAAAAAACTTGCAGGTCATATTTCTAGAGCTGAAACCGATAGAGGGATATCACTCTTTAAGAAGGGCTCAAATCAAGGTGCACGACAACAAGAAGTCTTCACTTTTCAGCAAAAGCTTTATGGTCCTTACGTCCAGGTAAAATATAGCTTACCGTAATAGCTTGTTTGAAGTTTTCCTCGCCAATCAAAGCCTTCAGCATTGTGAGTACTGAACCTCCTTTAGCGTATGT